AAATCTGCAATGATCTCAATTACAATGTCAATGTAAAGAAAGCAAAATAATGATTTAACAGTGGCTTTGGTACTGTGTGGTCAACAGTAGTCAGAATTGCTCGGAAGAAAACACCGCTGCGTAACGTAGGGCACAAGCGCAGTGCTCAGCACACGGTCACGGAGGCCACCTGGCACGCCAACGGACAAGCCCATTCAGGAGGCCTCGGTCGTGGGCGGAGGGGAGGTGGCCCCAGCCTGAGGGGCACCTCTGGGTGCTGTCCGAGCACACGAGGGCACCCTCCCCAGGCCCCCTCGGTGAAGGAACCCATCCAGAGGGGCTGGGTCTTCGATGGGGCCCCTGTCGGGTGTCCGTCGTGATTTAGAACCCCAGGGGGAAGCCCAGCCCCCCAGCCTCCTCCCAAAGCAGACCCTCCACGGTCCACGGCGTGCTGTGAATGTCACACCAGCCGAGGAGACACGGCCCGTCCTGGTGGCCACTGTCCACTCCGCCGGCCCGGAGGCCGTGTGGGCGCCCGTGCCTCTCCCGCCCCCCGGGGCTGCCAGCACATTAGAGATGGATTTTAATTTCATTTTAACAAAATAGCTGTCTCCGCTGGAAGGAGCATCAAGCGTCAAGGAAGGGCCCGTCTGGAGCGGAGTGGCGTTGAACAGACCTCCGCGCTGTCATTGATTTTCCGGGAAGAAAAAAATCGCCTCCGGCTACTAAACCGAATTAGTAGTCACTGATGACCAATTATTTCAGCCGCCGTGAGCGGGGAGCCGCACTGAAATCCGGTTTGTCAGACCCAAGGCTGCCTCCTCCAACACCTTTCAACGCATGTGTACCTGAGTCCCTCAGAAGGTGCCCGCAGCTCCCCTGCTCCGCCAACTTCTCCGGCTCCACGAAGTTTTAATGAGCGGCTCAGATGAAGACGGGCTGCCATGAAAGGGGCCCCTCTAATCCACAGAGCGCGCTGCGGCAGCGCGGAGCCGCGCGGGCAAATCAGAGCTGTCAGCCCTCACCCCCGCGCGCACCAAGTGTCAGCCTAATGTTTGCAAATGATCATCTCCGGCCCCCTCGCTCCCCGGCGCCTGCGTCGGAGATCAGCCCTCGGTCTGGGGTATCAATCGCCAGGCAGCGAGATGGACTTGATGGAACTAATTTGAGGTTTCCTGCAGGCCTACCCCGAGCCGGCAGGCTTCACCTCGCGTCGTCCCGGCTTTGACACCGTTTTGCGGTGAGTGGGAATGTCAGGCTGGTGAGGAACTTTCCCGAGCCGTTCCTGCCAGGTTGTCAGCAAATAATTTGTCCGGGCCCTGCGCGGCAACCTCGCCGTCCCCCAGGCGGAGAGCCTGGGACCCCCAGGACGGGACCCCCAGGGCGTGGGGCCATCGGCTGCTCTGGGTCAAGGGCACATCGTCGGGGAAGTCCGGGGAAGTCAAATGTAGAAAATGACAACTTGACTCCACCGGCCGGCCGGGCCCAGAGCTGGGTCAGCGGCCGGGCCACTGGGACAAGCCACGGGGACCACTCAGACCCGGTTTGGGGTCCTGGCCCACAGGGGAGCCCAGTTTGGAGCCTGGATCCGCCCCCTTGGCTCCTCCCAGGCCACAAGCAAACCTCAGGCAAGTGGCTTCATTTCTCTGAGCCTCAGTTTCCCCATCTGAAAGCAGGAATGCTCGTCCTCGCTCTCAGAGTCATAAGGAGTCACCGAGACTGTAGCTGAAGTGTTCACCGTGGGCGCTCAGCCTTCAGTACTGCAAGGGCCAGGGCTGCAGGGCAACAAGCCCACAGGCTCCCAGTGAAAATGCAGCACGTCACTCACTGGCTGTGTGGTCTTGGGCAAGACACTGAACTTCTCTGGGCCTCTGATTTCTCATCTGTGAAATGGGCATATTCACATCTGTCTCTAGAGTTGTTGTCCTAAGGACAGAGGACGCAGCAGGAAGCCTGAGCTCTGACTATTATCGTTACGGCTGCTGCAGGCCCTGTGACCCCAGAGTGCAGGGAGCAAGCCCCTGGGAAGGTCTGGGGCCCCACCTGGGAGTGGCCCGGCCCCCTGGGTTTGGCCTCTAGCTGCAGCCGGCCTGCTGGCCTGTCCCCTTTGGTCTCTGCAGAAGTCAGTTGCACGTTCTCTCAGCTGCAGACACTGGTCTGAGGGGTGGGAGTTCAGGCCTTGCGCCTGGAGTGTGCTGTGTGACCCTGGGCCAGCCATTTGACCTCTCTGGGCTCCGGCTTCCCCGCACCGTTCCCACCTCATTTAGTGAGGATAAATAATTCAGAGCTTCCGTGTGAACCCCTCCAGCTCCTCCCAACAAAGCTATAACCGAGACCACGGGGCCTTCAGCCTGTGGCAAAAATCATTCGTTTTGGGGGTCGGGGAGGATGCCGTTCTGCATTATAAAGAACTGCCCTTCCCTTTTAAAAAACTGAACATGTTGTAAGGTAGCAGCCGGAAACAGCTGTGGGAGAAAACAGACCTGGCTCCTAAAGATGCATCCGGAGGAGCCAAGCACTCGGGGAAGATGCTGAACTCCCCGGTGCGGGGCAGGCAGGGCCCCCAGGCCCAGAGGCCAGCCGCCCTCCACCGCGGCTGCTGTGGAGAAAAGGGGGCGTCTGGTCTGATGTTCGCGGGGCTGGGCCTGGTGGGGTGGGCCTGGGGTGGGCTCTCGTCCTGACACTGAGTCTGGGGACCCAGATCCATCTCCCCATCCCTGGCTATGTGGCCCCAGCCAATCTCACGACTTTCAGACTTGATTTCTTTCTTCCTTTCTCCCTCTCCCCCTCCCCCTCTTTCTCTCTCTCTCTCTCTCTCCCTCTCTCTCTGCCTCTCTCTCTTTCAGCTTAGGCTTAGTCTAAGAGATGGGAGGCCATTGAGGGTGCTTTAAGAAGGGGTGCTATGGCCCGGCTGGCATAGCTTCCCCGTCAGGGCACATGCCCATGTTGCGGGCTTGATCCCCAGTGTGGGGCGTGCAGGAGGCAGCCAATCAATGATTCTCTCTCATCATTGATGTTTCTCTCTCTCTCTCCCTCTCCCTTCCTCTCTGAAATCAATAAAAATATATTTAAAAAGCCCTGGCTGGTTTGGCTCAGTGGATAGAGCGTTGACCTGAGGACTAAAGGGTCCCAGGTTTTATTCTGGCCAAGGGCACATGCCCAGGTTGTGGGCTCGATCCCCGCCCAGTGGGAGGCATGCAGGAGGCAGCCAACCAATGATTCTCATCATTGATGTTTCTATCTCTCTCCCTTCCTCTCTAAAATCAATAAAAAATATATATTACATATATATATATTTAAAAAAATGGGGGGGATGATGTGATCTGACCTACACCCCGAGTTCTCCCCAGGTCAGCAAGGCCCCCACATTAGTATCCAAGTTACAGAGCCAGGGCAGACCTGCCGGATGTCCCTGTGCGCCCCCCCCCCCCCCCAGGTTTGTCAGGAGCGCCTCCTGCCTCTGCCCAGGTAAGAAGGACCTTGGCCGGGGCGGGCACAGCGTCAGCAGGCTGCAGGATGGGGAGGGGAGGGGGCAGGCTCGCTGTGATGCCGGCCATGGGGGCTGGGAAGACAGGGTCTCAGCGAAGGCCTCTGGGGCAGATGTGGCCAGATCACCGTCCAGGGTCCCTGGAAAGCATGGCTGTAAATTAGGCGGCTGAGAAGCGTGGGGCAGGTAGTGATTAAGCAATAAAGTCCCCGCAGGGGCAAAGGGGCAGGACAGCAAAGCCCTGGGCGTGGCCTCTGAGCACCTCCTGTTTCTAAGCCGCTGCCCCTCCCTGCAAACAGGGACCCCTAAGGGTCCGCGTGGGGAGCGTCCGGACTTGTACGCTGACGTCGGGGCAGAGCCAGGCTGAGGGCTGGGGTCTGGGGTCCTAGCGGCACGACCTTGGGGTGGTTTGTCGTGTCTGTGAAGGAAGGTCACCGGTAATACAGGGCTCCCAACCTTTCCTGGGGCGCACCCACCTCTGAGCCTGTGGATCCTCCCCCCAGACAACGCCTGTGCACCCGCCCAGAAGTGCCGTCTGCCATTCACGGGATTCAGGAGGCTCGGGGTGACGGCTGGATCAGGCACCCCCAGATCCACTGACGGGGACGAGGCTCTGACACTGCCCTGGGGTCCTGGGCCCCGGAGAGCAGAGAGCGCGCCGCACGCTGCCTGGGCTCCTCCCGCTGTGGGGCGGTGTCCAGGCTGAGGCCCTGCGCTGAGCGTATGAGCTGCAAGCCGTTTCTACCAGTGTTTCCCAAAGTCTGCCCGAGGAACCCCTGGGGGTCCTGGGCCTGGCGTAACAAACAGCCACAAACTCGGTGTCTTAACACAACAGAAGCGCTGGAGGCCAGGGATGGGCAGGGCTGCCCCCCCTGGAGGCCACGGAGGGTCTTTCCCTGCCTCCCCCTTCCCGCTCCTGGGGGCCTGGGCTCCTGACGGGGGCTCCCACCTCTGCCGCCTCCTCACAGCACCCTCTCCCGACCCTGCGTCTCGCTTCCCTGCATCTCTCACAGGGACACTGCCACTGGGCCTGGGCCCACCCTGAACAGCACGCACACCATGCTTTCCCCCATCTTGCGATCGCTGACCTGCCCCCAACTGCAAAAGCCCTTTTCCCAGACCGTCCTGGCCACCAGGCTCCGGGTGGGACGGACATGGCCTGGGGGAGGCACCAGTCGCCCGCTCCGCCCCCCAGGAGCCCGGCCTGTACTGGTGACTAAGCTGTTCGGGCCGGGGGAAGGCAGGAAGGAGTGAATGGGGAGGACAGAGCTTTCTCCACTGCTTTCCTTTTTCTTTTTCTCTTTTTCGCTTTTTATGAAAAATTTCAAATGTGCACGAACGGAGAGCCAATAGGGCCAGACGCTCCTGGGGTGAACCCTCACCTCAGCCGCAACTGTCATCAGTGCTTGTGGGCGACCATGTGGGGCGCCTGCTCCTGGGGAGAGGGTTTCCCCGGAGCCCAGATGGCCAGTGGGTGGCCCCCAGAGGGCGGGTGGCCGGGGGAGGGTGCCTCACACGCCGGCCTCGCCCGCAGGCCTTCCACGCCCCTGTTCGACCTGCTGCAGCACCGGTACCAGAAGCTGTGGGTGCAGGAGCAGAAGGCCGCCCAGAAAGCCATCAAACTGGAGAAGAGGCAGAAGGTAAAGGCGGCCTCGCTCCCCAGTGGCTTAGCGTCGGGCGGCAGAGGCGGGAAGGGCTGGCCCCGCAAAGCTCAGCCCCGAGACTGAGCCCCGTGCACGCCTGTCCCGGGGGTGGCTGGGAGCCACGCTGAGCGTGGCCTGGCCCACAGGGCATTGTGGGAAGTTCGAGCTCCGGGGGGTCTTGTCAGGCTGAAGCCCCACCTAAGCCCCAAGAGTGGAGATTCTGCTGGACCCGGCCCCTGGCCTGTGTGCCTGGCGCAGGATTAGAACCCGGCTCTCGCTCGCGCGCTCTCGCTCTCTCTCTCTCTCTCTCTCTCACACACACACACACACACACACACACACACACACACACATACACACACATACACACCTACCTGCGGACTTTCCACCAAACCTCCGCACGGCCTCACACATCCAGAAATGAGATTTTTTAAACATAAATTTTTATTGGTTTCAGAGAGGAAGGGGGAGGGAGAGAGAGAAACATCAATGATGAGAGAGAATCATGGATCAGCTGCCTCCCACCAGGGATCCAGCCAGGACCCAGGCCTGTGCCCTGACCGGGAACCGAACCGTGACCTCCTGGTTCATAGATGGATGCTCAACCCCTGAGCCACGCCGGCCGGGCCGGAAATTAGATTTAAATTCAGTTCTGTACAGGCTGACTTGGCCTCACAGAAAACTGCGCCGTGTTATCTTCAAAGAAAAGGCTGAGAAGGCAGAAGGCCGAGACAGCCCGCCCGGGGGCGGGGCACAGGGAACACAAGTACAGTGGGGACTTGACTTACGAGTGTCCCGACTAACGAGTTTTTTGAGATACCAGCTGTCTCTCGGCCGATTTTTTGCATTGAGTTGATAGAGTAATTTGAGTTAACGAGCTCGGTCTCAAAACTAATTAAACTCATAAGTCAAGGCCCCACTGTATTGCACTCGAGGAGAGTGTCCTGTTCCCAACGAATGACTCGGCCCCTGAAAACACTTCCGGGGCCTCAGCTACGTCAGCTCATCGGCGCCTCTCAGAAGCCCAGGCTGGGGTGCGACCTGCTTCCCAGGGTGGACTTGGAGCTCAGAGCGGCGGTGCCCACGCAGGGACGGGGAGCGGGGAGGGACCTGGTCCAGCGTCGGCCAATTGCTGCGGCACGAGGCCGGAGACCCGCGCCGTCACTTAAAGCCAGACCCCTCCCTGCTCACGGGGCTGTATCGGTCTCATCAGAAGCAGGACTTTGGTGTCCCTGGCTCTTCCAATGCTCAGGACCCATGGCGTCCCCCCCACCACGTGGCCTGCGGGGAACAGGCCGGCGCACACCCCGTCTTCCCGCTGCCGTCGTCCTGCGCACCCCGCGGGGTTGGCACCTCACCAGGTCATCTCAGTCTGGTGCATTTTCAGATGAGAAAGCTGAGGCTCCGAGTGACTGAGTGAGTGGCCAAAGTGTCAGGAGAGCCAGGCTTTTCTGGATGGCGATCACGGGAACGCTCAGGGACAGGGGCCAGTGCCTGTGACGTCCTGGGGCCACAGGGGGCTATGGAAGAGTCTTCCCGGCTCCAGGAGAGGCACCCAGCGAGGCTCAGGGGCCCCAGGTCCCCCCAGGCGCACGGTGGAGGGAACCAAGGCCGCCCAGCCCCCTGCCGCTCCCGGCAGTCAGAGTCCCAGGCGCCAGCGCATTCCAGGGCAGTGCGGGTGCAGCCTTTTACAAGCAGCGGGTGTGAGAGGTGCGTCTTTAATTAGCAGCTGGTTACCGCAACTCAGAGCATGGCAAGTCCACGGAACCCCGAGCCTCCCCGGACCCACCTTCTGCTCTAGAGACGATCCGTGGGCAGTGCCCTCCTTTTCTCAGCAGAGCACCCCGTAAAGTAGCTAATGCGAGTGGCTCCACCCCAAGCACTGCTTGGGACCCGTGGAGAAGGGCTGGTTGCAGGGGGAAAGGTACCCTCTGGGCTGCGACGCCTCCGTCCTTGCCACCCGCCTGGCAGCTCGGCTTCTCTGAGCCACCAGGGGAGCCGCCAGGTGAGCAGCCAGGTGAGCGGCCAGGTGAGTGACCAGGGGAGCCGCCAGGGGAGCGGCCAGGTGAGTGACCAGGGGAGCCGCCAGGGGAGCCGCCAGGGGAGCCGCCAGGTGAGCGTCTGCCTCTGCGTTTCTCCGGCTGCAGGTGAGCCTCGGGAAGCTTTACGAGACCCGGAGCAGCCAGCTGAGGAAGTACAAGCCGCCCGTGAAGCTGGACGCCCTCTGGCACATGCCTCACTTCCAGAAGGTCAGGCTCGCTCCCTCCCGCACCGGGCGGCGCCCATCACCTCCCGGCCGGGATCCCCGTCCTCTAGACAGCCAGCTCTGTGGGCTCCCAGCCACCCAATAATACCCACGGCAGCGCTGCCAGCCCTGAGCGCATCCTCATGCCGGCCTGGCTCAGGGCACGACCTTATGCTGGTGAGGGCAGCCTCGGGCTGAACCCGGCCGTCTGACGGCTGAAGCCTGGGGTCTGTCCACGGGGCGGGCACTGTGGGTCAAACCCCCTCCACGGAGGGGGCCGTTCAAACACCACACCCTGCCCTAGAGACTTGGGGGCACAGACAGCTCCCCAGGGGGCATCCCTGGGAAGCAGAGCAAATGCCTCCAGCAGCCACCAGCTCCAGCCTCAGAACTGAGTGGGGTCCCTGCGGCCGCATGGCCCTGCCTCGGTGGCCAGACCGGCGTTCCCATAAGGAGGGGGCACTGTGCCGAGGAGGGAAACGGGGCGACCTGGGGACAGCAGCGTCGGGATGGGGGCAGACAGCGGCACGAAGCGGCATTCCCGGCCAGCCACGCCCGGCGCCGTGTCGGGCTAAACTGCAAGTTAGGCAGTGAAGGGGCGGGCGCCTCCCTGAGCCTAATGCAACCGAACCAGCTGCCGAGCTTCGCGAGAAGCCTGCCGGCCCCTTGACGCGGCCTCTCGTGTCCGCCCGCTGGCCTCTGTCAGCGCGTGTCACTGACCATTTGCCCGCCGCCTGTCCGCCGCCCGCCCCCGCGCACGGGAACGTGACCGGCCGTCGGAGGCCTGGAGCCGCCAAATCGCTGCTGTGCGGCGGGTCCTCCTTGGCACCAGATGCCCCGCGGCTCTCGGCCCCACAGCAGCGACTCCCACCCTCAGCCCTTCGTCTCTGATGTAGGTGATGGACCAGGAGGGCTCAGAGACCTCCCCCCTGCGGTGCAGGGAAAGCTTCCTCCTCCCCGGCCCCCCACCCCCCGGGGTCCCCGCGACTGTCCTGGGGCAGGGCTCCTGGCTCACTCGCCGCCTCCCTGCAGCGCAAACGCCGGTGCAGAAACAAACCAACAGCTTCTATGTTCAAAGGCGGAGGCTCGCCTGAGCCCTGCGGTCTCTCCCAGGCGTCTCTGCCGTTGGAAAGCGCTGCTGTGCGCACAGGAGCCGACGGCACCGCTCGCCTTCACTCGGCCCTGGCATTGTGCTGTCACCCGTGTGTGTGTCATACGAGTGTCCTGACCCTTGGGCAGAGTGCCAGGCTGGGCCCGGAACCCTGGGGCCCGGGACTGCAGGGCCCAGGCCACCCCCATCAAGCCGCAGACACCGCAGAAACCGCAGAAACCGCGAGGGAGAGAGTAGGGATGCCAGCCCCGGGCGAGAGGGTGCGCCTCATCTTGTCCGACTGCCCATGCGACTCTGGGAGCCACCTGGTACACCCAGCACAGACCCTGACCCAGATGCGGCCGCCACCGACGGGACACTCAGCCCCACCCCGCCCCCCGGAGGGAAGTAACACCCGCGAGAGGGCCTCTGAGCTTGCGCCGGCCCCGAGTGCTGGACGTGCGTGACCTGCAGACCTGAGGTCCCCGCTCTACTGCCGAGGAGACTGAGGCTCAGAGAGGCCGAGGGCCTGGCCCTGTGAGGAGGGGACCCGGGTTCAGTCTGGGGTGGCCTAAGCCTCTTCTCTCAGCCACTGAGCTGTGCTACCCCCTGGGGACCCCTTCCCTTCCCTCTCCCCCGGGCCCCACCCCCGCCAACCCCCTTCCCGGCACTGGTCCACACTGCAGCCAGCGCCCTACCTGCACCGTTACTGGTCCACGTCCATCTCCCCCAGCAAGTGTGAGCCCAGCGGGACCATGCCTGTCACGCCCCATCGCGTCCCCGAGCCCAGCACGGCCTGGCACCGAGCGGGCGGTCAGTGACCGTCTGTGGAAGGAAGGAGTGTAGGGGAGGAAGGAAGAGTGACAGTACGGCCCAGAGTGACAGAAAAATGCAGAAGCCTTTCACCGACCTGATGACACCCACCTTTTCCCAAAGCACACGCGCCAGCACCAGCGCCAGCGCCCCGGGGCACCGCCCGGGCCTGGACTCGGGAGGCCGGGCGGAGTCGGGCTGCCCGTCCACAGCGGCCTCGAGCGAGTGCCAGGCCCCAGGAGGCCCTTTTCTGGCCGCTGCCCTGTCCTGTCGCTGCTGATGCCCGCCCCGCCCCGGCCCCACTAGGAAAGGAGAAAGCCCTTCCAGAAAAGCGGAGCCCGTCAGGGTGATGGATGACCCGCACGGACCCTCCCCGCTCGCGAACAGATGTCGCTGCTGAACTCTGTCAGAAATAATTAAACGCCTTTCACAGGGAGACGCTGCGGCAGGCGCGGCCTCCCCCGGGCTGGTCTCGGCCTCGCAGGCTGGCTCCTACCCGCCCGCCCCGGGCCGCCCCTCGCCAGAGGGACAAGGAAAGGAGGCACGTGCCTCGGGGCGGTGAGCCCTCGGGCCGCGGGATCCGGCACACAGGCTCCCCATGGGCTCTGCCACCAGCAGTTCCACGAGTGGCCAGTGCCCCAGGGAGGATCAGCCAACAGCTGGCAAGTGGCCTAAATGCTGAGAGGTCTGGGCTGGCCGCCGAGCCTCTCTGGGCCTCAGTTTCCTCACCCGACAGCGAGGGGCAGGGCCAGCTCCCGATCTCTGCCCACCGAGGGCTCCAGGCCCCCAAGTCCACCGGTCAAGGAGCAAGAGGACGGGCACAGGGCTCTCGGAGGCGGCGGCCTGGAGCCAGCGTGCACGTCGGGGAACAGCTCCGATTCCCACGTGGGGGACGAAGGGTGTACTCGGCAGCCTCCACCCCGAGTGAAGGAGGGCTGGGCGGGCCGTCACCCTCTGTGCTGGTGGCCTGGCACTCACAGGCCTTCCACCAGATGTGCTGGGTCTTCCAGGCAGGGGGAGCGGCCGGGGAGGGAGGGGCGGCCGTGTCTGTGCGCGTGTGCATGTGCATGTGCATGTGCGTGTGCGTGTGCGTGTGCCTCCAGGGCCAGCCAGACCTGGGTCCCATGGCAGCCCCATCACCCCCAGCCGGTCTCAATCTTCCGGAGCACCTCTGCTCCAGGCCCCGTTCTCCGTGCCAACCAGGCTGCTTTGGGGCCACTGGCCGGGCAGATGGGCAGACAGGCAGACAGGGAACTGACAGGCACACGGCCAGACGGGAGAGTTTGGAGAACTGGTGTGAGTGTTTGCAGCCTTCAATGGAGGGGAGACACCAACCTTAGTTGTCAGCTCAAGCTTGGGGTGGGGACAATCGCCATAGCGATCACCCCATCACCACAGTCCTAGCTGGGGGGCCGGGGGGCACCTGTTCCCGGGCCCCTCCCAGGCCACCGCCCTGGCTAGCCTGGCAGCCCTCCCGTGGGCCTGTGGGGAGGCGGGATCATTAATAGCTCCGCCTTCTGCTCTCCAGAGTGACCCAGTGGGAAGCACACGTCCTACCGCCGCCTAATATTAAGCCAGGAAAAATAGATGCTTTATCCTCCGTCACCACAGGCAGCCAGTGACAACGGCCCGAAGACAAAGGGGCGAGCGCTCCAACTATTTGCGTGGTGCTGACCACAAGGATAGAAGGTTGGGTGCCACCCGTCAAGCGATGGCTCACATGCATGATGTTAAACAGACGCAGAGATGATCCGTGACGTTGTGGGATAGTGCACAGCCACGAAAATGACATCAGTCTGTGCTTACTAACGCGTTACTAACACAGCACTGACGTGTGTGCGTTTGGGTAGAGGCGGCTGCGCTGGTTACAGGTGTGAGCGCCCGAGGGCAGAGCCGGAGGAGGGGCCCCGGGGCCAGGGGCGGAGGGATTGGGGGGGGGGCGGGGAGGCTGAGTCCTACGTTCTCTGATGCTCCTTCTGCATTGAGTTTTCACAGTGAGTACGCGTAGCTTTTACAAAACAAGGCAGGCGATCTTCTTAAATGTTTTTAAAGGATGAGGACTCTCCCTCTTTCCCTCCCGCCCGGTGCTTGTCCCAGACAGCGAGCCCCCTTTTAGCCCAGTTCCCTCTGACGGTCCCCACACTCTCGCCGAGCTCTGGCCACACCGGTTTCTTGTGTTCCCGGCTGTCAGGTGTGAAGGCCCGAGGCCGGCAGTGAAGGGGGCAGACTTGCAGGGTCCAGATCTTTACAGCCAAGTCCAGGTTCTAACTGAAGATCCGCAATCCATTTGGGCCCCGGCCAGTGTGGCTCAGTGGACAGAGCACCGGCCTGTGGACTGAAGGGTCCCAAGTTCGAATCCGTCAGGCGCAGGTACCTTGTGTGCACGTGCAAGAGGCGACCCATCACTGTGCCTCTCACATCGACGTCCTCTCGCGGTCTCTCCCCCTCCCTCCCATTCTGTCTAAAAACCAATGGAACAAGCATCCTCCAGTGAGGATTAACGGGTCTCCACCTCCGTCGCCTCCCCCACCACAGGGCCCACCCCGACATGACACGGTCATTCCGTCGCTAGCGTGTGGACAAATTCTCTCGACTCACCGGCTGTGGGCTCAGCCCCACGGCTCAGGGATAAGGCCCGGCGGGGACGCTAACGGCTTGGGCTACAAGCTCCTGCGTCCGGAAGCTGGATCGGACGCCTCTCTGTGGAAGACTGACCCTGCGGGTCATCGGGCCCCGGGCTCCCCACAGAATGGGGACACGGGGAGCAGCGGTCAGCCACGCAGTGACACCCCGAGACGTGCTGATGAGTGAAGGCTGCCGGGTCTAAGGGAAGGGTTTTCTCCCTTAAGCTCTTACAAACCCGCGCTGGCTGCAAAGTTAACTCTGCCAACCCCAGGGCGGCTCTGCCGCCTCTGCCCCCTGTGCCAGTCCGTCCGCCTGCCGTCCGCCCGCCGCCTCTGCCCCCTGTGCCAGCCGTGTCCAGCCCAGCCACTCCCTGCAGACCCAGAGGGGCAGCTGCCAGATGTGCCGCCGCTCCGAGTGCCCGCCGGGGGCATTCTAGGGGTCCTGCCGCGGCGTCGCTCCGGAAGAACTGCTGTAAG